AAGACCCCAACCCGATGTTACACTATCAGAGCAAGACCCTCTACATTAACCAAAAGGCCAACAACTCAAAACTCTGAAAATATCCTCGACGGCGTCCACGGCTAAACCTGGTCATCTGCACGTTACCCACGTGGAGGCAACATTCAAACAGGCAGGGTGAGTAAAACGATTCATAATAATCAATGTAGGAAATCAACATACAAAATGGCGTCATTTTCATATTCAACATCATCATATTCATCAAGGAACATCAAAGGCCACAACATCATAATTTACTCAAGATCATCTCATAAATACAAATGCAACAAGACTCAATGCATGTGGTACCAATCATCACAGCTCGATGGACATTGGGCCATCAACCCTCCATAGATCCCCATCAATAGGATCAATTCTACTTGAGAACCGGAGCATATTAAAATACCTCACATCCGTACAATGAGATTGAAGCCAAAGAAATCAAGGTCCTGAACCGAAGTCCGGATGCACATGAATGCATGATGCACGCGTCAATAATCATCCTCATAATAATATCATAGGTGCATCATCATTCATCATAGTCATCATCATCAAAAATCATGTCATCATAGAATAATTAAAACTCATGAAAATATCATCATAGTTCATCAATCATTACATCATAGGAATCATCATATAATCATGTACAAATCACATAGAATTCACAGTCATACTCATATTCATTCGTCAAAGAAATCACAGCCTTAAAACATCAAGGCATCGCTCACAAAATCAGATTTCGCGAAACTCTGCTACGTTTGCTAGCAAGTTCGTTGTGCGAGTCTGGGGCGAGTTTCTTCATTGTGCGAAGGATTCTTTGCAGCGCGAGTCTGGGACGAGCTTCGTTCGCTGTGCGAACACACGATGACAACAAAACACTGTTATGCACCAGAACTTAAAATCAACCCAAAAGTCCCACGATTCACTTCTCCAATAACCCAAAAAGATCCCTAAATCATCCCTAAGGTCTTACGGCGATAAAGGCACAAAATCTACGACTTATTAGGCCAATCCCGTATCATATTCACACTCTAAATCCCACAAATCTTTACAACTACATCACAATCATCAGAGTTCCTCATTATCAAATTTCTCTACAAGGTTAGACAAATGTCAAATTAGAGTTTTGGCCACGAAGGCCTAATTTTCTTTAACCCAAATAAATCCCTACGGTTAAAATCTCAATAATAGATTTAGGCCACGAAGGCCAAATTCTCTTTATCCCATAATCAGCCTTAAACCCTTTAAATCCTTAAATTGGCCTTAAATACATTGAAATTACACATTGAAAACAATGAAGGCAATACTCCCCATACCTTAATTGCTAACTCTAAGCCTTCTCAAGTCTTTCAGAAAATCTTTCGAAGCTTTTGCCTCAAACCTCCTCCTCAGAGCTCTGGCCTCAATTCTTTCACGGTCTAACAAAATGAATCCTAATCCCATCACATTTCCCTTTTTGTTAAACCTAACCTTGGACCTATAATTTGGGCTTTTCCAATATTACCCACACTAAATCCTCCTCAATTGTCCAATTTGCCCTTAGTTAACTTATATTTATTTAAATTAATAATAATACTAATATATTTATATTGTATACTATTATTTAAATAAATAACCCAAATTCCATAATTCTCAATATTCCACAACAACCACCAAAAATCACCGAAATGCGAATATTCTTATTTAAATAAATTAAATAAATATTCCAATTAAAATTTGGGGTGTTGCATTTAGAGTTTGGGCTTCATACGTTATGTTCTGATTTTTCAGGTGTTTCTGATATATAGTAAGTTTTTTCTGAAAGAAAACAACTACCATAATATCCTTTTAAACAAGGGTTAGTGAAAATATTTGAAATGTTTGGGTTTGATTCAAGAAAAATTAGTTATATCAAAATCAATACTTTCTCCTCCTTTTGTTAGCAATCAAAAAGAAAATATGCAATAACATGCAATCAGATGCAACAAAAAGATAATATGTGGGTCTAAAGATTCTGAGACTTAGTGTATCATAAGCCACATCAATCATATCCAACAGAAAAGAAGTTCATTTGAGATTAACGAAGTTCAACCAAGTTACAAGGACATGATCAAACAAAAGACAAACAAGACACACAAACAAGATGGTTAACAAAACATATAAACAGAGAGAACATATTCTTATACACCAACAAGGACACCCGCCTAGCAAGCATAAAAAAATCCCGCACCTTATCAACTCTTTCACATCTTTCTTAAATCGCAACATTGTTTGGTCCAAGCCTTTTGGCTAATCCAATAATTTCAGCCTTGAAGAAAAGCTCAGACAAAGTTCTTCCATAAGGAATGAAGGACTTATGCTGAATTTTGGAAACTTCAACATAATACATCAGATGATTGAAGATAGTTTAAGGCAGGTTGACCCGGATGTTGTACATCAGAAAGTAGATAAAGAGCCTGTCATCATGAGATAAAACATCTTTGGCCACTCCTCGAGGACGAAAGTTGGTTAGCAGGATTTGAAGCCACACTTTAGCAATGGGAAGGAACCCTTCAAGATTGTTGGATTCATAGCTGGGAAGAGAATCATCATGAATGACAATGAGTTTCTCAATAAAGGTGTAGTTCAGATAAAAAATCTTCTAAGGTAAGTCCAATTTGGACACAGTTGATGATTTCAGCAATGGAGGTAGGTGTTATGATGAAAGGAACTCCATAAACAGAAGACCAAATATTGTTATCATCTTCATCAACCCTTGCATATTTCCAAAAAATCCTTCACAAGGTTAGGATAGATGGGTCTGTACAAGATTGCATAGTAACTAGACCATTCTTGAATCTGCGTGCTTCTAGTTATGTTCAAACCTGAGTCTCTGAGTCTAGGAAAGTTAGGCCTTTTCTTAGTGATTACTTCCAAGACTTCTTCATTTCCATAAAACGTTTTGAGATACATAGTGTCGCTACGCAAAAAACAACCAGCAGAAAACACAGAAGAGTCGCCACCGAATGTTATTTATCCCGACGGGGGAAAGGAAACAATCGAAGAAAATCTCAAAAGGGATAAGACATGGTCTCATAACCAAATCCTAGGTTCGAGAGTCGATTACGCGAGAGGAAGGTATTAGCACCCCCTCGCGTCCATTGTACTCAATAGGATCCGTGTTGTTGTTCTAATCAAAGGGTATGTATATCTAAAGCATACTGCTAGCGGAAATGAAAAAGAAAAAAAAGAAAAAAGAGACTCGATAGGACTTCGCCGTCCTAGGCCTACATATTCCCTCATGCAATGGGAAAGTCAAATTCATCGTAGTTCGTAGGACTACGGGTGATGGGGGAAGGTTGCTCGCCAAGACTTTGTTGTCTTGTGCCTATGTATCCTCAATTGGAAAAGAATGAGGAAATCAGAGTATCCGTAGTTTGTGGATACGACCACGAAAGAAAGGGAATGATGCTCTCTAAGACCTCGTTGTCTTGTGCCTACATATCCTCATTTGGACGAGAATGAGGAAGTCAGAGTGTTCGTAGTTCGTCACACGAATTGTTAAGTGTTTTTTATGAGTGACGTTAAGTTCACATTCCAGCAGTTAAGGTCGACAACTGTTTGCGGTAGAACAGAAATAACATGCTCTTTCTGAAAAGGTTTGACAGACAATCCCGAAGGATAAAATAATTTGCAATTTGTTTGTGAGTTTTAACAGAAGTGAATTGAATTTGTTTGAGACTCATATTGAACTAAATTCTATGACATAGGAGCGAATGCGTCGCAAGATCACCCCCAGATGGGACATATGTTAAACACTCTAGAAGAAGTAAGGAGAAACTCTTCACTCATTATTTCACATGTACTTAAGCCTCGTGGGGCACATTACTCATCGTATTTATTACGTGTTTTGATTTTTGTTTTGAGAAGAGAAAGAAGACTCAAAGGGAAAAATAAAATCTAGGGGAGACTCACCTAGATGTTGTCATGCAATATGTCTCTATAGTTGAGGATGAGAGAGAATTCTACCCTAAAGTTATCATACTTGGATTGAGAGCCTAATGTCTATCCTACTCCGAAATTAATCAGAAATTAAGTTGGACTAGGAATTCTTAAGGGAACATGTGAATACAAAGTAATCAACAAGTAAACATCATACAACTCAATCACAAATAAAAATCAGACACTAAACAAGGCTCAAGTACACAGAGAAACTCATGTCAAAGTACCAAGCTCGAGGCGCGCATCAAATATCATCAAAGAAAGAAATCACAGGTATCCTCAAGAATAAATCAATATTTAATCAAAAGTTAGTCAAGATAGGCATCAAAATCATGACAAAAACAAGAAGGAAATTCACAAGATTCCATCAAGAATATTTACAAGTATCACCAAAATTATCCAATATCCAAGATGACTCACAATTTGAACATCAAGAACTAATCACACCTAATCAAAGTTTGATCAAAAATAAGATAAAAAATTAATCGTAATAAAGATCGAAACTAAGATTAAATTTTTTTTTACTCCAAATTAGCATCAAACTAAAATCAAGATTAGAAGCTAAAACAAAAATTAATATCAAAATTTAATCAACATTCAAATAAATATTTAAAAGAAACTATATCTAAAATAAGATCAAAAGTTAATCCACAATTAAAAAAAAAGTTAACACGGAGGTGCTGAAAGAAAAAGCAGGGAGTGCATTAGTATTTCCGTGGCATAGGGCTTAAGGCCCGACCTGGTTCGGTCCACTTCATGAAACAACAAGACCTAGCTCACTAAATACTCTCAGTTGCTCTTCTTTTCATCTATGTTTTCGTTCTTCTTCGCTAATGCATCTTTTTCCTCATCACGCACTCACCTCCCCCACTCTCTCTTCATGCAATGCCAGCTACATTCCATCAACATTCCTCTTCTCTTCGCTCACCTCCTCCAAAACCTCAACGATCAAATTCTCCGCCGTACCGGAGTTTTCCACCGGCGGCGGTGGACTCCACCAATTCCAACAATCACATTTCTAAATGCGATCCATTCTCTCCTACTCGATTCTCACTACTTTTCATCTCAAATCATACTCTAACTCGCGAATCGCAACAGAAGTGAACGACGCTGAAGCTTGTCAAATTGCGCTTGCAAGATTCAAGATGAGATCGGCATACCAGCGAAACAAAGACGATGCCAACGAGTGTCTTGCGTAAGTCCCTGATTCGATCTCTTTTTGATTTTGCTGTTTTTACGTTGCTTCTTCTACTATGCTTCTAACTGTGAATCAATGAACTCGTTCTAGCCTCGATGTTATGTTTTTGTATGCGCGAAGGGTTGCGTCTTCTGGTGGCAATTCAAAATTTCTTGCGTTGCGGTTTGTTACCTTGCGAAATTTGACGAAATTTGACGGCGTTGATTCTCTGCGCAAGAATTTATGGGGGGAGAGTGCAAGAAGAATCCAGAAGAAATTTTGTTAGGATTCTGTTAAGTTTTTTATTCTGTTATTAGTTTTTTTGTAAGTTCTATTATGGAATGAATTTACAATTTGTTTTTTTCCTTGAACCTGCTATGTAATTTGAGTTTCTGCAGTGAATTTTACCATGAATTTTTATCCGTATTGTTTTTCTTTTTTGGTTTGTTGAGAACTGCTATATGTTGTCGGTTTTGTAGAAATTTTCATCCAAATAATCACATTATACCCCCCTAATATCCAATTTACCCCACTTTCCCTCTTATTTCCCAATCTAACTATGTTTCTGATTTTTTTTTTTTAATACAAGGGGGCGTCATTGGGCTTGACTCCTCCCTTATAATTTGTAGGGGGCGCCATCCAGGATGGAGGCACCCTATAAATTATAAAGGGGACGCCATACCCTTTGCCTCCTCTCTTAAATGACTTAAAGGGGGGCGTCATCCCCTATGGAGCTCTCTTCAACGAAATTTATTTTTTAAATACACTATAATTAAAATAATTAAAATATAATATTATTTTATTCTAAATTTTTTTTTATAAATAGTTGGACTTGTTGTTAACATTGTTTCATCCAAATTTAGAAGAGTGAGTCATGTATCTTAGAAGATATGGGCATGTAATTTTTTCGAGGACGAAGCCTCCGACTTAGAAAAGTTGATATAAATATTAAATTCCATTGGACAGTTTTTCCTCGTATGCCCGGGAAGACGACATATTCCATTGTGTCTCCATGATAGGTTGGCCAATAGTCCTCACTAGCTACCACTGGAAAATTGTTACTGTAGATTACGACCTTGTAAACTTCTGATAGCTGCAAGAATGGATCCTGACGAGCAGTTGAACATGCGACAATGACATGTGAACAAGGCATGCGGAAGGTTTGAAACTTGCAGTCGCACCAATTTTTATGAAGTTCCACCCTGTAGTGTCCCATTGGTCGACCCTCGTTGTGATCCATTGTCTCATCAACAATGAAGCTGTAATCGTGACGATCAAATGGTCTAACTCAATGTGAGGCCGCCTTAGAAGTTTCATCCCTCATATACTTCATGCTTGATTCGCTGAATATTTGCCCTGATTGCAGTACAGCGCTCCATTTTTTGCCTTTTGCCGCAAAAAGTGACCCCAATCTGTAATACGTTGCCCTTACCAACGCAGTGATGGGAGGTTCCTAGTTCCCTTAAATACGCCGTTTAAGGATTCTACAAGATTTGTGGTCATGTGACCCCATCTGCACCCTCCATCAAATGACCTTGTCCATTTCTCGACTGGAATGTTATCCACCCACCTTAATGCTTCCGCGCTTGACAACCTTATTTCTTCTCGGTAATACATGAACGATGGTTGGTTTAAGGCATACCCAGTGTTCACAACTTTTTTACGGAGATTTCTGTCTTTAATTTCCCACAACTTTTTTACGGAGATTTCTGTCTTTAATTTCCCGCATAAAATTCTGAGCAATGTGTCTTATGCAAAATTCTGAGCAATGTGTCTTTAATTTTCCTCATCCACACTATAGAAGTCATGTCTCTGTTAACATTGGGTGAAACGCATAGAGGAACACCAAACAACATCGTGTCTTATGTAAGTAGTTGTACTTGATAATTCACAATGTTGTCTTTATTCGTAGCATTATAATGTTTTTACAAATATAATGTTCTAATGACTTGTTTGTTTTTTTTGTAGAATACTCATGACTTTCGTACTCATGGGCATAAACATTTCCCACATGACCCGTTAATTCTACCTTTTTTGGAGCACGCGGGATTTGGAGAAGTCATTAATATTACAAATTATCTCCTTGATACCAAGTTTATCTTGGCTCTGCAAGAAAGGTGGCGTCCCGAGACGCACACATTTCATCTTCCAATAGGTGAATGTGCAGTTACACTCGAGGACACATACATGTTATTGGGTTTACCCATAGATGGTAAGGCGGTGAACGGTATAACCAATCCTAGCGGTAGTGTCATAGGAGAACTCTTAGGGGTTGAACCAACCCCACGAGATATGAGGGGCCAAAAAAATTTAATGTCATGACTCAAAACAATTTATAGAGACTTGAGATTAACTCGAGATTCTCCTGAAATATTAAAAATTAGAAAAACAAGAATTTGTATTATGTTATTAATAGGGTTATTTTTATGTCCGGATACAAGTGGAAACACTGTTCACTCTATGTACTTACCTTTATTAGAAGATGTAAATAAAATAAAAACATATAGTTGGGGGTCCGCAACACTAGCACACCTATATCGGTCTTTATGTAACAACTCAATAGCAAATTAGGGAAACTGGACCGGATGTGGTGTTCTTCTTCAAGCATGGGGTTGGTCAAGAATGACCAATCTAGCACCTATCCAACAAAATAATTTTGAATTCCCATTCGCTAAAAGGTAATTATTTTTCCCAATTCTCACTTATCTATCAAAGTATTTCAATTAGTTAATCATATTATTAATAAATGTTTTCTTTTCGATTTGTAGGTGGTCTTCGCTTGGAATGAATTATGACAACTGTCCACATTACAGTATCACGCAGTACAGAAATCTTATTGATCACTTGGGTCAAGATGATGTACACTCACAAACCTAACTATTTATGGTATACTCTACTTGAATATTATTAGAAAATACTTAATATTATTTTTTTCCTCCTACAGTTCATTTGGCGGCCGTATCTTGGTCTAGAAGCCTTTCATGAAGTTGAACGACAAGACTCTGCGGTGTGGAGTGCAAAGGTGTCGATTATCAACTTCACCACCGTGGAAATGCACAACAGTGATCGTGTGAAACTTCAATTTGGAATGCTTCAAGATATTCTATGTCCACCAAAGTGCATCCCCGACAAATATCACACCGGTAAAGTCTCCGACCAATGGGAATATAATTCGTGGACCAAGTATGCAAAACATGAGTGTCGTGAATGGAGGCATCGTAACAACTATGTTTTGTCTGACACTGTGTTTCCATACGAGATGAAACAATCAATACAATACATGACTTGGTATAGGTCTGTATCAATTGGTTTCATTTCACATCCAAGGTATCTTGTTGACCCACGCCAACAAGATTCATCATCAAGGCCCCAACAACCAACCCAGCCCTATTTCCAACCGCCAACACAACCCCATTTCCAACCGCCAATCCAACCTCATTGCCAACCATCAACCCAATACCATTTCCAACCGCCAACCCAACCCCATTTCCAACCATCAACCCAACCCCATTTCCAACCACCATCCCAACCCCATTTCCAACCGCCAACCCAACCCTATTTTCAACCCCCACTCACACAATCACAACAATATGAACATACCCATAACCAATTCACTCCATTCACACAAACTCATTCACAATCCACACAATACCACACATACTCCATGGATACTACAAACCAAATAAACACCCAGTTTCAAACACCCAATCAACCTATACCCACCCAATCATTTACACCCATCCCACCCTACGATCAGGCAGGCTATCGTCCTGACATTGCCTCATCCAGCCAACCACCCCAAAATAATTATGAAGGCATGGGCGACCCTTTTGATTCGGATGACTTTACGGATATGGACCCGTCTTCATGGGCCGAAGTGATGCAATTGCTTGAAGACGACACAATGGATCCGACTCCACAACAAAGACCACAAAGAAACGTACGTGATCGGGGATGCGGTACGGGCGGACATTTAAACCGACCACGGCGTAGAAACCAGTGTACAATATCTTTCATATGTACCCATTTGTGATTAAATAATTATTGTAATTATTATTTAATATTAAATTTATTAAATACAATTTGATTTTTATTTATTATTTGGAATTTATTAATGAAATTATTAATTATTATTTATTTATTATTTATTTATTATTTATAAAATATATAAAAATTATTCAGAAATTATTATTATATAATTTTTATTTTTAAAATATTTTTTAATTATTATATATTATTTTTTAAATATTTTTAAACTAATTATATATTTAAATTATTTTTAAAAATCGAATTTAAGGGAGGAGGCAAAGGGTATGACGCCCCCTTTATAATTTATAGGGTGCCTCCATCCTGGATGGCGCCCCCTACAAATTATAAGGGAGGAGCCAGGCCCAATGGCGCCCCCTTGTATTAAAAAAAAATCAGAAACATGGGTAGATTGGGAAATAAGAGGGAAAGTGGGGTAAATTGGATATTAGGGGGGTATAATGTAGTTATTTGGGTGAAAATTTCGGTTTTGTAAGCATGTCCAAATCAGCCAATGGAAGCATATGATACTCTGGGTCCAAACTGAAATTAGGACCAACAACAAGCTTTAGTGATGATGGCTGCCACTTAATGCCTAAAGCTTCTAGTCGTCTCTTTTGAAATTCACTCTGATAGGATTCTGGGTATGGTATCATTGCTGAATCACAAAATGAATCTTGCACATTACATCGATGTGGAATGAGCTGAGTTTCCTGGTCAAGTACATTACCATGAAGCGACTCAACAAAACTGGGAGTTCTAGTGTTTGCGCTGTGAATTTATTTTGTCCGTTTAACCTGTTTCTTTAAATTAGCCATAGCCTTGAGAAATTTTCTCCCATCTGTTCCACTACCAACTTGTGCATTGAATTCATTAGCAAAATACTCTACCAGCCGCAATTCCATATGCTGACCAACCAGCTCAGGGTTCCAACGGACATCCTTGACCTGAAATTGACTCACTACTGGCTTCCCATACTCTTTACTTTTATAAGAAGAGAAATACACAAGGACATCAAAGGTACTGCTAGAACCCATATCATAGAAAACAACATGCCTTGACTCATTAGAGAAATCCTTATCAATCCCATACTGCAATGTCGCGCCAGAATGCTCGTTAATCAACGAAAGAACATTAACCCCAGCTAACTCCGCAGCATGAAGCAATCCTTACCGTTCAGCTTGTTCAAAATAAGGTGGAATAGCAATCACCGCGTCTTTGATCGGAATCTTGGAATGACACTCAACCAAATTTGCGGCA